AATGATTACAGCGGACTAAAATTGAGGCAATATGCTACATGCAGGTACTTGCGGTGCTGTTAGGAGGAATGTCCGTTCTCTGTTGTCGTGTAACTGCGGAGCAGCTTACTAAGTATGTACTATACTGTGAGTGGCTGATTTTTGCTACTTGGAGGGTGACAAATAGCTTGTCATCATTCCTGCAGTCAATTGGAGCATGTGAAAAAGTTTTCCAAATGATGGATCTTTTGCCCAGTGACCAATTTTTATCCAAAGGCAAGTAATTGTGACTCTTTTTTCCCCTTTGTGAATTTGTGTTTTGTTGATTCTGGTTCATAGCGTATGCAGGAGTGAAGTTGCGGCGGTTAAGGGGCCGTATTGATTTTGTAAATGTATCATTTTGTTATCCTACAAGGATCACGGTATGACTTCTTGTGATGACTTTCTTTTGCTTCATTTGTTACAACAGTAATATATAGGATCGCGTAACTCTCCAGATGAGCACGAAAATGCATTTGGCTACTTGCCCTGCACTGAATCACTGAAGTTGTAAAGTGAATTTGATAACTTTTAAGCACTGAATTATGTATAATTTCTGACAATTTGGCAACCTGCTACCCTCATCTTTTGGAAAACATTTGATGGTTCCTTGCCATTACCTCATTTGTGACTGGAGCCACATGGATAGCTGCCCCCTTTTCCACCCTACCTGCCTCTTGAACACCATCCAATTGTTACCATGGCTAGACTACCCTCGCAACTAATTACTGCATGGCATCCTACCTCCATGATGTTGGATGCCTCCGTCGGTACCTTCATCAAAACTTATGTTACCCCAATGCCTCCACTATCCCCACAACGCATAGCTACAACTGTTACCACGGCACACAAGTTTTTCCATTTGTTTGGTTGAAGCTGATTAAGTTGTTTTATTATTATTATCATTACTATTATCATTATTTAATTTTTTTTTAATCTTTGATTTTATGTGACGTTTGAGCAGGTGCCTATTCTAGAACGCTTAAACTTCTGTGTAGAACCAAATGAAATGATTGCAATTGTAAGAACTCTCTTTCTCTGTTGCCTGTCTTTCCCATTTTGGCGTGGCTCAATTGGCGACCTGATTTGACACCTCTATTTTCGCTAGGTTGGTCTTAGTGGAAGCGGAAAGAGCACATTACTCAATCTTTTACTTCGTTTATATGAGCCAAGTAATGGTCAGGTAAACGACTCAGATCTGCATGCCACGGCAAAATGGAATCCGATCTATAGTTAGATAGAAGGACCTGCATGCTTGTCATGCATTGGATCAGTGGTCTGTCCGAAACCATTTTAACATGCATCTTATTAGTTCTATGAATTCTTCATATAAATTTACTCTGATTTTGTTCTTAAAGGGATGTCTTTATTCTCTCCGCATGGGTTATTTGGAAACACAGGACGACACTGGGATGAAAAGAATATTATTTCTGTGGTCACTCAATCTAATATTTATCTTAGATGAGCATTCTTGGTAGCCATATCTATTTTTGCAGATTTCCATTGATGGGTTCCCTCTCGGAGAATTGGATATCAGGTGGCTGAGACAAAACATTGGATACATAGCACAGGTTCGGCAATTTAAACTGGAGTCGTTACTTCAACTAAGTCGTTTTTCTTTTGGGTGAACAACTTGGTCATTAATTTAAATTCATCGTTATTGGAACATTTTGTTTCAGACAGGAACCGCATCTCTTTCACATGGACATCAAGTCAAATATAAAATACGGTTGCCCTAGGGACATTACACAGGAAGATATTGAACGAGCAGCAAAGCAGGCCTATGCTCATGACTTCATTTCATTGTTTCCCAACGGCTATGAAACCATTGTTGATGATAATTCACTCAGCGGGGGACAAAAGCAACGAATTGCCATTGCTAGGGCCATTCTTAGGGACCCTGTTATTATGATACTTGATGAAGCAACCAGTGCTCTAGATTCTGAGAGTGAGCATTATATCAAGGTGTATTATTGAGACACAAGGTTCTTGAAAATCTTAATTTTCGCCTTTCCCCAATTTTTAACACAGCGCTGATCAGTCGTAAATTCTTTTAGGAGGTTTTATATCCGTTAGGAGGGGGAACTAAAGAAAGAACCACCATTGTCATAGCACATAGGTGAATTTCTTGCCGATAACCTGCCTTTTCTTCATCTTCCTCATAAAGATTAGGCGCATGATTGGGATTCCTACTATTCACAGGCTTTCTACCCTAAAAGCTGCTGACAGGATCTTCGTAATTGATGATGGTCGCATCATTGAGGTGATTTTACGCCCGTCTGAAGTATGCTAAAAGCAACTGTTTCAGGCACGTTTGCTGATTGTTGTTTTATCAAATCTTATGTGTTCGCAGATGGATAACCACGAAGAACTTCTGCTTAAAGGTGGGCTCTACGCAAAATTGTATAAAGTTCAAACAGATATTTTGACCTAATTCAAGTGGTTTGAGGATTTATAACAATTTGAGGCGAGAGAGGGAAGGGTCGTGATCATTAAACTATGTAATCAGAAGAGAGCTAAAGGCTGCAATGCTGGTAAGATCCGCGCTTCATCTCATGTTGGTTGACATGAATTTCAGTGAAGCAGAGCGTACTTGCTGGGGTATTCCATGAAGAAAGCAAATGAGGTCAAAAGCTTTTGATTCAGTAAACCGAGACCAGAGCAATTGCTATTGAGCTTCCCGCATTAGAAGCTATGGAATTTCGTAAGTCCTCTTTGTCTTGAGAGAGTAACTAGTGAAGTTGATTCTATTGGAATGAAAGTGCATGAAAGTGTGCCTTGATTTGATTGTCCATTAGTTACAGAGTGCAGATGATAATATGTATGAGCCCTTCACTTTCCCACTGCAACTACTATATTTCCTGATGAAAGATCGCATATATTTGATTTCATTTGCCCTCGATCATAATTGTAAATAAAGGACAGGAAATCGTTGTTTATCGGCATAGAACACAGAACACATAGTAGGAAATGATTCTTTGCACACAGAAAGAAAGATGTAAAAAGGTGAAAGGGAGGTCAGGCCCGAGTTGGAGGAAGCTCCTTGTCTAAAGCCTCGGCGGAAAAGTCAGACGGTTGTGGGACTTGCTGGTGAGGCAGCCCTTTCGGTTGCTCACTCTCTTGTGCTGTGCCGCTGCCTTTAACATCATTCTGTTCCTTCCTTCTCCCTTCGTCTTCTTCTATGACGCCTTTCACTTCTTTAGGCTTAGCCACGCCCTGTGTGGATGAGGGGTCGTCCATGCCTATTCCTTCTTGTTCTTCAATTTGAAAAGCTTCTTCTTGTTACGAGGCCCGCCATTTTTATCAGTAAACAAACAACATCGCTGCATGAGGGCGTGTTTACACGTGGGCAGTGCTACCTCTTTTTGGCTGCCACGCTATCGGTCTGCTTACTAGCCCGCGTTGCGGCGCACAAAATATTACCTTTTTTGTCCTCAATATAAGATATATTTAACTGGTTTGATTATATTAAGAAAGATAGGTAAGTTAGTTAATTATAAGAAAAATGATACATTTTTTCTAAAATACCATAATCATTTTTTTTAATAACCCATCTCTTTTTTCTATTTGATTATGATTAAGGGAATATCCATATGGATAATTTAGAGAAAATTGATAAATATGAGAAATAGGTATTATATTTAAGATCAAAATTAACTCAAAAATTGAGTCTTATATTAAGTATCGGAGGAGTACCACATTTCATGCTCATTTTTTCAATATATATTCCCTACATTGTTTAATCTTAATTTTTGTTTTCTAAGTCAATGTTTTTAATTGATAACTAATGACTACTTCTGCTTTATATTTGTTTTGCTTTGTATTTTACGTTTAGTATTTATTAAAGGATTAAGGTTGAATTTTGTCTTGAATTTTTTTTTTTTTAAAGCTACCAGTATTCGAAAGTTTTTGCAAGCATGGTAGTGCCACGTTAGTCATACTTAATTTTAGATAATGGTTAAGGTAACATTGCTATGTTTTGGTGGCTTTCAGAGTGACATTATTCTTAAAAAAGACAAAATTTTCGGATACTACAGCTCTTGAGTAAATATTTTTCGGGCAAAACTGCATATTAACTTTTTATTAAAATAAGAATATTAAAGGCATAAAGATTAAAAATTTTAAATTTAAAAATCTAGATCTTATTTGAAAGATGATCATGCAATATTATTTTTAAAATGACTATAGAATCCAAATCCTCAAATATACTCCCTCCGTTCCTTATTATAAGAGACATTTGATACTAATGGCATGTTCCTATATATAAGAGACACTTAAAAGTTGTCTCTACTTTTTTGTGTTGATTTCCTATTTTACCCATATTTATTGTCTCCAACTCACACTCTCTCTCCCTCCCACTTCTCTTTCTTTCAATAATTTAATTGTTCTATCTCATGCTCTCTCTCCTTATTAATGAGGGTATTTTTGGAAAAAAAATTATATTTTTACATATTGATTGTTCTTAACTAATTTTACCTGCTTTTTTGATCAACGTAATTCGGTTATTCGTCTCTTATAATAAGGAACGGAGGGAGTAATATTTTATAATATAGTCTGACCTTTTTTCTGGCTGAATTTGATTTTCAAATATTAGCGATATGTGTGTGTGTATATATATATATATATATATATATATATATTAGAGGCTTTAAGTTTTTTTTTTTTGGCTATCTATTTTTTCATCCTCGAAATGGATATACATTATACTCTTTCTTAATATAGAGCAGGACTCATTTCATATGTTTTTTTTTTAAATTAATACTTTCTTAATAATAATTAAGAGAAAGAAGGAAAGTTAAGAAAGATATTTGGAGTATTTTAAAAATATATATTATATTAAGTAATTTAATTAACATTTTTAACTTATTTAAATTAGTTAATTGGATTTTAAATTAAGACTAAAAAAGCACATAAATAAAATATTGTGAAATAATAAATTTATTATTAATTTTATATGTTATAAATTGCTTTCGGGATGAGTAATGACGTTGAAGACTGCCTCCCGTTGTAGACAGTCCTCGTCTCTCCTCCGTTTCCCTCCTCTGTCTATTCCTGCGCCTGTCGAATCCAAGAGTTCACACATAAGCCTACACGCCAAGAAAACAAAACCATTGGTGCTCCTTCTAGAACTTGCAGTTCCATTAGCTCCTCGCCGGCCGTGGTGCCTGTAAGAAAAACAGGGTGCTGAATTTGATGATAGTTTTCCGTGTTTCTCTGTTCTCTCTCCCCATTTGTACCAAACAAGTCTTGATTTTCATTGGTTTCTAAGGCTAGCGCAGATACCCGATCCTAGCTGTTCTTCAGGAAGCTCCATGGCTACTGTGGGCGAAAGCTCTTCGGCTGCGGCGACATCCAAGCCAGTGGTGGTTAGGGTCAAACGGAAATCCTCTCAGTCACCAGTTGACGCTTTCTGTAAGCTACTGTTTCTTTTTAATTTCTACTTCTCGTTATGGATGGTGTTCGTAAAACCAAAAAACAATTGTATATAGATGCTAGAATTCATTGTTCCTTTCAGTCACCAATTGACGCTTTCTGTAAGCTACCGTTTCTTTTTAATTTCTGCTTCTGGTTATGGATGATGTTCGTAAAACAAAAAGAACAATTGTATGTAGATGCTAGAATTCATTGTCGAACCATTGCCCGGCTGACCTTTACAAAAATGTGGCACCATGATTTGAGTGGGGGCAGAAGGGGATTGTTTCAGACTGATCCGCCTTACTAATTTCAGCGATGATAATGGAATCTGGTTTTTCGGGTGACAATGTAGGGCTGGAAATCAGTGAGAGGCCATTGAAGCGCCCTCTGGTGGATTTTGCGAATCTATCTATCTCAGATAACGCCACTCAGAAGGGTATGTTACTTATCTCGGACCAATTGGTGTGTGGTCTGATTTTGTAGATTCCATATTTTTTCTTGCTCTGTTGGTTGTGACAATTTATTTTGAACTTATGAAGTTCAAAATTTTACAAAGCCACACGCTTAACTTTCATAGAAGTGAAACGTTAGTACACCATCAATCGGAACATTTTTTTTCTCATGCGATAGGTGTATAGGAAAAGGTGAAATACATTCCACCCTAAGGTTTATCCTTATTGCAAATTCAGGATTCAGGATATGAGGTCTAAAACCAATTAATAAACCCCCTCAGACTTTAACTTAGGTTGAAAGGCTGAAACCAAATTGAAACCACGAATTCCAAATCTTGGTGGTTAAATCCTTTAATCCCAAAGTCAGAACCTAAATCACCATGCGTTGGTGAAACCGAACTACAATTGAGCAAAGAAAAATGAATTGCAATTTAAGCAAAATTATAATTAAACCCACACTATAAAATTGATATTGATGGCTTATAAATTAACTAAATAGAAAATATACCTATACTTTGTACCTTGGCCCCTCCCTAGTGTTAGGCTCAAGTTACCGGCTTGCATCTTTGAAACTATTAGGAGATCTGTGCCATGTCCTTCTTTCCACATCCTTGAGCGAAGGAATTTTTCTTGGGAACAAAGATCATTGTGTTTGTTATTGAGATCCAATCAATAGAGATTTTTCTTACACAGTTAATTCGCTTTGTCAGTGAGCCATTAATTTCAATTCCGTCTAGTTTTGGTTCTATTCCACATTCTTTAAGTACTTTTTCCCTATAAATTTTTTGTTCAATTTTGGAAATAAACAAACATTTTAGCTACATAGAAAAGGAGTGCTGGAGTGTTTTGTATTGAAGATGGATTTATCTGTATGAGTGCCTGACTCCTGATATCATGGTTTTTGTTTCTATCAGAGGAATTGAATTCCAAGAAGGTTTTTGTTCAGCATGTGGAGACAATAAGCATCCCTGAGGTCACCTTTGATGTTGTGCACTTTTTCGTGGTCAGTATGGCTAGATGGTGCTCACCATTCCTCTCTTTGATATTGTATCATGATGTGTGACTTTTTATAACACATCATGATGCAGTGAACTTGTTATCAAAGTGTCTTATTAAGTGTTTTTCTAGGACTCTGGTTCTAGTGGTGCATCTGATTGTAAATCAAAAATTGTGGAACGGAAAGAGTTATTGAAGAAGGACAATGTAAGAACTATCTTCTTTCCCTCCCTCCCTCATTTGCAATCTCACATATAATTGCATTTTCATGAATAGAGACGCCAGACCCTACTCTCTGCAAAGAACCAGCCTTTGCAAACCGTGCTTCTCAGTGCTACTTATATGACTTTTATGTTTTGTTATTTCTAATTTATTATCTGCAGAAACAAGACCAGCTGTTGCTTAAAGCTAAAGAAAAGCATGAGGTTTGTCACATGACCCAAATTACCTATATACATCTTCCCGGGACAGTATATTGAAATATCTTCTGTGGACATGTCTTGCTTTTTCCCTTTTTTTGTTCCCAAGATGTCTATATGTTGTACCTTCCAACTTTTAGGCCCCTTTCTGAACTCAGTTTGATGATATTGTTGGTATGGAACTGTTCCTTTGTTCTGGTTCTTTTTGTTTTTTGTTGTTTTACTGGCAAACTTCTCTCATGTTGGTTTTCCTATTCGTGCAAGTTGCATTTTAACTAAATTGTCACGTGTCCTTTTACTTCCCGTCACAGCCTGATTGTCACTGATCTATGTTGAGGCAAGTTCAATATCTGTGCTTGTATGTGTGATTCCTGAAAAGCATATATATATAGAGCTAGAAAAGAAAAACTGTTGTCCAAGATGATAAGAGAGGCCAAACGTCAGCTCCCTGTTAACTCCATATTCTTGATATCATATCATTAACCCGCATTTTAGGTTTGATATCATTCAAAACTCCTTAAATATATGTTACAAGCCTAGGGTGTTTCGTGAAATCTAGATTTGACTGCTTTGGTTGCTTATTGATCGTTATATATTAGCATCATGATGTTTTCTTTTTCCCATGGTATGTGTGCTTGTGAATTTGTAATGTGAGTATAATTTCTCTGAAAATACACATACTCTTCTGGAATACGCCTTTTCTGTTGTTTGGTGTGTTTTAATTTTCTGGTAAAAAAAAATGCTTTAATTTGATTATAATAATTGAGCTGTTGGTAACCCCCCCGGGGGGGAAATGTGGAGGGATATCTTGGTAAACTCACTTAAATGCGTTTGTTCAGTGTATGTCACTCGCGATTATTTGTTTTTCTACGTAGCAAATCTAATGGTGGTTTCCAATGACTTTTTGCAATCTATGTGTTGAACAGATGTATAAAAATAAAACTAAGGAAAAACAATTGACTGATCATTCTATAAGTAATGATGAACTGATGATATCATCACAAGTCATCCTCAAGCACCTCTATCTGTTTCAAATTCCGCTTCTTTCCCTGCACATGTTGCCCCGCTTCCCTATTTCTTCACTTTATTTCTCTCTTTTCCCGCCGGTGGAACATGAAAGACAATAGAACAGGCAAGAAGTTACATCGCATCAAGTAGACTGTCTCAGGATCTGAAGCTGAATATAGTTTCTAGCCTGTTTAACATGATGTTCTTAAATTCCTGGAAAACACTATAATAGGCAACTATACTTTGATACTTAAGAAAGGCAATAGATGCCACTCAAAAAAAAAAAAAAAAAAAAGGGAAAGGCAATAGATGATTACTAGTACACAAGTTCATATTTCAAGGGGAAAAAAAGTATGATATTGATCTTTGGATCATATATTAACATGTTGCATATGAGATGAAATGCTTTTGATGCCCCTTTTTGCAAACTTGATATGTTGCTTTTATTTTCCCTCTAGTCTACTGCAAAAAATGCCCGATTTGAACAAATATGGAAGAGCAGGAGGGGAAACAAGGAATCAGTGCATGCCAAAGCATTACAAGAAATATGCCACTTCTATGATGTTGTTCGTGTTGATGAAGAGAAAAATAACAAGGCACAGCAAGAGTATGTCCAAGGAGTCAAATTTTTTTTTGGTTCGAACAATTATCAACAACAACAAGCCTTATCCCACTAGGTGGAGTCAGCTACATGAATCACACGACGCCATCGTGCTCTGTCAACAACCCAGTCCTTAGATATGTTGTTGACTAAGAGGTCTCATTCAATGACCTCATTAAGCGTTTTTCTTGGTCTTTTTCTGTTTCTTTTTATGGGACTCCATCTTGTCTGATCCACCCTCCTCACCGAGGCCTCCAATGGCCTTCTCTGCACATGTCCAAACCATCTTAAGCAATTTTCAACCATTTTCTCTTGGATAGGTGCCACACCGACTCTTGCTCTGATATTTTCATTTCGAATCCTATCTTTTCTTGTATGACCACACATCCATCTCAACATCTTCATTTCTGCTACCCCAACTTTGTGCTCTTGTTTTCACTTTATTGCCCAACATTCACTACCATACAATATAGCTGGTCTTATAGCAGTCCAATAAAATTTTCTTTTAAGTTTCTCAGGTACCTTCTTATCACAAATAACTTTGGTAGCTTTCCTCCACTTTAACCAACCAGTTTGTATTCTATGAGAAACGTTTCCATCAATTTCCCCATCCTCCTGTATAATGGATCCTAGGTATTTAAATTTGGATACTTGAGGAATGATTTGCTCCCCCATCTTCACCTCCAAATCCCCATTGCCTTGCCTCCTCCCAAAATCACAATGCATATATTTTGTTTTGTTTCTGCTCAAGCAGAAACCTTTCGACTTCAAAGTTCTTCTCCATAACTCCAATCTAGTGTTAATCTCTTCTTTTGATTCCGCCATGAAAACTATATCATCCGCGAAAAGCATGGACTTGGGGATTCTTTCTTGAATAGGTTCAGTTAGAACATCCAAAACAATGTTGAACAAGTACGGACTCAAAGAGGATCCCTGATGTAGACCAATCTGAATAGGAAAGTCTTTTGTCTCACCTCCAAGCGTCCTTACACTGGTAGTTACCTCCTCATACGTATCTTGTATGGCTTTGATATAAGCAACCCATACACCTTTCTTTTCTAAAGCCTTCCACATTACTTCTCTTGGCACACGATCATAAGCCTTTTCTAGTTCAATAAAAACCATATGTAAATCCCTTCTTTTACTTCTATATCTTTCCAATAACCCTCTTAGTAAATAGATTACTTCTGATGTGGATCTCTCTGGTATAAATCCAAATTGGTTTTCTGAAATAGAAGTCTCCAGCCTCAATCTATATTCCATTACTTTTTCCCACAACTTCATTGTATGACTTATAAGTTTTATCCCTCTGTAGCTTGCACAATTTTGAATGTCTCCTTTATTTTTGTAAATAGGAGCTAAAATGCTTCTCCTCCAATCATCCGGCATATTCTTAGAACGTAAAATTTCATTAAAAAATTTGGTTAGCCACATCTCACCCTCATCTCCCAAACATTTCCAAACTTCAATAGGGATACCATCAGGCCCAACGGCTTTTCTATTGTCCATTTTCTTGAGAGTTACCTTAACCTCTCCAATACAGATCCTGCGGTAGAAAGCCAAATTCCGATCATCTTGGTTCGGACAATTATCACATGAAACAATTTTACGCTCTAAGAATATACCGGATGATTTTGGACAATTATCACATGAAACAATTTTTCCTGTGATTTTGCAGACATCTGCCGGTGGAGGACCAAAGACTTTTGCATAGTTACCTCCCTTTACTAAAAGAGTTTATTCCTGATGCTGCTGCGGAGATTGAATCTGACATGCGTGCTCATTATGAACAAGGTTGTTATTGGCTGCTAACTACCATAAAATTGTTACCTACCTTTCTTCCTTCAATTTAAGTTGCGCTGCTATGTAAATAGATGGAATGAGTGGATCTCTTTGCTTTGGCAAACGGTATCATCCATCATCCAATAGATCAATACTATCTCTATCGATTGACACATCCCATTACTATTTTCAACAGTGGATTATTAATGTTGCTGACTTCTTTCATACCAATGTGTTTTGATTGGATCGTGATGTCCACTTTTAAATGAAATATACAGATGATTACGTTTATGATATTTACGCTGTGAACAAGGAGACGGACATCACTGTTGAAGATACGTCATATTCTTATCCTCTGTGAGTGTTTTCTGTATATAAATGTTTAATCAATTACATTCTATATTCGTTCTTACTTGACACCATTTTGCATATTTGAATCAGAGTTCAAGTTGATGAAGAGGATTATTATGATGGGCCTGAAGAGTCAGATTATGAAAGTGATGACTCAAATGGTACTTACCAGGATCTCGCTTTTCTATCTTGCCAGGACTAAACCACTTAGTTGACCGTGTTTTCAAATTTGGTTATTTATAGCTGAAAACAATCCATTGAATGATTATCCGGACGAGATATCTGAAGAGGAAGATGAAGGAAATGAAGCCTCCAATAATGATTCAGATGAACGTGAAAGCAAGAACGCTAGTGATGAATCATCAGAGGAGGATTTTCGTCACATTTTTTCCAAAGATGATGAGTACTTTAATGATCAGTTTGATGCAGGCAACCACGGTGACGAAAATTTGAGGTGGTCTTGTCGATAAGTTTGCTTTAGCTCCACATTTTTTGGGACATCCAAGCGGTTGTCCGGTCCGGGACAATGTAACAGTAAAGTACATCAAAATTGGTATTCATGGACGTGCCTGTAAATTGTAGAGGAACAGATTTAGAGCGTGTCCCGGTTGGAGGTATCATAAGTGTAGACTAAGACAAATTCCCTCTCATATTTTTCTTGTATTCTGTAAATTATGTAAATTATGATACTGCTTATAATTTCCTATTGAGTCCTAACACAACAAAGGAAATGCGCATGATTTACTATTTTCAGAAAGTTCTACTTTTTTATTTTCACCTAGTCAAATGACTCATGAGCTATTGTTTGTTACTCTCCCGTATGGGATAATTCACTCTTAAATATTATTAAAAAATACAATAAATATCTGCTTATAATGATAAAATAAGAATCATGTCATGTATTGTAACTATATTTCCACATATCTCTAAGAAGATGCCTTGAACTTCATATTTAGCATATATCATAACATCTTTCCGATGCCACTCATGACAAGCGAATGATTCTTATTTTATCATTATCAAAATACTACCCACAGACAATTCATCTGACAAAAAACCTTCACGTCTCTAATCACATCGTGCGTTTTTACTGTATTTTCACATTTGTCATAAACTTAATAGCCTCTAATCCCAAAATAATTTCTTGTGAAGCATCTTTATCTTCAAGCCATGATTGCATGCTACCCAGAAAGCATGTCTCGGATGACGTCATGCATCGTGACTGTGTTCTTATGTTTCATATTTTCAAATGCAAGTATGTCTCAAACTTCATGTGATATTTCTTATTAACTCCACGTATATCATCGTCGAATTCACCTAAAAGTCCTTTTTCAGTTTTAAAAAAATAATAAACTCACCTTTAGGTTATCCTATACTATTTTTCCAACCCCACGCATGCCAAGCAATGATACTGACTTTATCAGTCTCGAAATCAGTAGAGTGAAGGCATTTTGGAGCTTTTATTTAGCTCGACAAATAACCCAGACTAAAACCTCTTGATCCCGATCCTCCTTTGCCACTTCAACATCTGTTTTCATCGCGTGTAATGGGGATTTCCAAAGCTTCAATTGCTCTCTCTTTCACTCTCTCGAGAATCCGCTTCCACTCACAAACCCTAGTCTTCCCGTTAATATTGTTCCCATGCTATTTGGAGGTCCAGCCTCCGTTCGGGTAATTGCTTATACACTATTTCTGTACGAAAACTAAAAGATTGACTTTCATTCAATTAGGGGAGGGTCGAGCCAAGTTTCTTCTCCAGGCCACACAACTGTTACAATTGCAAGCTGCTTTATGTTTCTTTCTTTCTTTCTTTCTTTTCCTTTTTTAAGGTCTAATATAATCTTTTTTTCCTTTTAAATTTGTCCTTATTTTATTTTTGACCATAAGTTTTGATTCTCAAAAGCAAACTAGTCCAAATTTTAATTTGAATTTATTTCATCATTTAATGCCTTTTTATTTTTATTCTGAATTAATGATTTATCTTTCTTGTCTTTTTTTTTAATTTATTCTCCCTCATTTTTTCTACTCATTCTCTGTCTCTCTCTTCATAAACAAAGATATTTAGGAAAATAAATGTGGAACTCGTTCAAGCATGGGGTAGCGTTGTCGTTAAGGCAGTTTTAACTGTGGAAGCTTTTGTTATTACTCGTTGACCTTTGGTAAAAAAATGTTTTAAATTTAAACTAAATGAATTTTATTTCTCCCATCATTTGTAAACTGAAGCAAAAGAAAAAATCATGAAATTAAATTAAATCTGAGCTAACAACGTGTATTAGGGGTTCAAAAGTTTTATTGCTCTATGTATTTAAAAGAAAAACAAAAACAAAAAGCGGTTGCTTTTTTTCCGTCAAAAAAGGTATAAACATTGTATTTGTGGGCCGCATCTGATCCATTTTGGGAGTCGCCGACTAAACTAGACAGGTACTTATGACCAAAAAAAAAACTAGACAGGTACTGGGAAACCGCCTTAATATGGGCTGGGCTGTCAATAAGGCCCACACTTTTCCAACCCTAGAGGACATGAGTGACGGGCCTCCCAATATCTTGACCAGGAAGCAAGAGTCAAGACCACCGTATATCACATATCTTCCTCGTCCACTACCAACCTCATCGAAGACAAACAATAATTATACTAGTACAAAAAGGGTTTAAGGCGAGGGGCTCTCATCAGTTCTGCTGGAATCAAAACGGCAGGAACGATATCTAGGGTTACGCTCAACTCTTTTTGCTGCGGACAGCCCTTCTCGTCCTACCTCCGTCTCCGATTTCGAAAACCATGGAATCACCTATTAACGACCCTGCTGTTGACGGAGAAAGCAACGATGCGAGGTCCTTTGGCCACAGAGAAGAGGAGGAGGATAAGTCTCAGCCTCTTACCGGTGATGGGGCGAGTCCCGGGTAGGTCCTTATCTTACTCGCCTCTTTATTCCTTCTTTTGTATACATGTAGGTTTCTCGTTCTTTTTGGTTTCTAAGAAAGCTTGAAACTAGAATCTGAGGGCGCTCAGCTTGTGACGAACTAGTTTCTTGAATATAGAGAACTGTAGCATTGCAGGGAAAGAAAATAGTTTTATCTTTTATCGTTTTGCTTCAAGATGGTATCTTTTTCCTTGCACCCGGGTCTATCCTTGCTGTTGTAACTTTTTCTGATAGTGTTCTGAATTTCTTAGATTTGATTCTAATTACACTCAAACCCCAATTGCAGAAAGATATTTATAGGTGGTTTAGCGAGAGAAACGACAATTGGTTAGTTCTATGTCTTATCGGTAGCCAATTCCTCTTCTTGTGGAAAGTAGTGTTTGTGTATTAGTTTCTTACCCCCGGTTCTTGGGATTATGTTTTGTCGCGCAGCTCAATTTGTTAAGCACTTTGGTAAATATGGCGAGATCACGGACTCTGTAATAATGAAGGACAGGAAGACTGGGCAACCGCGTGGATTTGGTTTTATAACTTATGCAGATCCCTCTGTGGTAGATAAGGTCATCGAGGATACTCATGTTATCAATGGCAAACAAGTAAGAGCCGTACTCGATATTTGACTTGGGATGTGGCTTTTCTCTCTTAGCACACGCCGGTTTTAATTAATCTTATGGGATCTTATAGGTGGAAATTAAACGTACAATACCAAGAGGAGCTGTTGGCTCCAAGGATTTCAGGACAAAGAAAATTTTTGTGGGTGGAATTCCCTCAACCGTGACTGAAGGTAGGCTGTCTTTGAACAGCTTGTTGGTTTTATTTATACTGCACAAGGGGGCGTGGACCTAGGCATAGGGCATGACATTGTATATGGGTGTAAAATCATATCAATAGGTTAATATTGGTATTAGCAATTGTGAAATAATCAATGAACTTATGAAAAGCCACCTAAAGTGTGTCTCATATATTTTACTAAGTGTCAGAATGGGGTTACTGGGCCTCTTTCTTGTCATATTAGTAGTTCATATTTGATGGGAAACTAGTATCCGATTTTGGACTGCAATTTGTGCAGATGAGTTTAGAGACTTCTTTACTCACTATGGAGAGGTCAAAGATCACCAAATAATGCGAGATCATTCCACCAATCGTTCACGTGGCTTTGGGTTTATTACTTTTGACTCTGAGGAAGCTGTTGAAGATCTCCTGGCTAAGGGGAACAAAATAGAGTTTGCTGGGGCTCAGGTAAGGACGTTTAGAGAATATGTCTTATGTTTGCATTAACTGCGTTATGCTCAACATATTTTTCACTGACTTTGTGGGCTAATGTACTTCGACCTCACTGCTAAGTTTACTTTTTTGGGCCGATATCTCACTTGTATATTTAATTGGATTTATGTGGACAAATGCATGCATCTGCAATTATGATAGTTGATTTGCTTGGAGGCTGTTTTATCCAAAGAAAAAACAACAAAAAATAAAGAAAGCCTTGTAGAGCATTGTAACCCGTGAGCCCTCCAATTGTTTAGCTGTTACAGACAAAATTATGTTGATAAATTAGCTGATGTAATGATTTAGGTCAGCAAGGGGATTAAGATTTACGCGTTTATCATACTATAAATTATGGCTCTAGGGTCACTTGTGGGAACTGTGAAAGAATAACTACTTGGTTATTGAGCCCCCTATGTTGTTTGGGTCGCAATATAGTTTAGGCTACTTCATGTCCAAATATTTTTTTGTTATGAATCGCTTTTTTTTTTTCCAGTTATGTATTATGAATCACTTTTTTAAGTGGCATTTATTTGAACATTGGTCCTGGGAACCACCGGCTTAAATTTCATTAGATCAGCCATATTTGAACCGAGGTTAAACCCAATAGAGTGTGCAGTAGAGCAGATTCTTTTCCAAATTCCTTTTGGAGTGGCAGTATTGTTGTTTAGCGGATGTTTTTGTGTTTCCATTTAATAAAATTGGCATCTGATGTTTGCTTTATCTAGTGAGCTTCATCTATTAACTTGCTGTTCCCCCAGCTAATCAATCCTGTGACTTGAAACTCAGTTATTTTTTTGTCTAAATGTTTGATCCGTAATGGGTTCAGGCCAAGACAATCTTATCACGATTCATTATGACTTAACATTTAACATCATTTTGATTGATGTGAAAATGTGGGGGAAAACTATTTCGTTCATTGAAGTTTTCTGTTAGATTCGATGTCAATAATCAATGGGTATGCTAACATTGCATATATCTCTTCTTTATAGGTGGAAATAAAGAAGGCTGAGCCAAAGAAACCAAACCCACCGCCGGCCTCCTCCAAGCGCTATAATGAGTCAAGATCTTCATTTGGTGGTGGGTACGGAGATGCTTATGATGGATTTGGTGGTGGCTTTGGTGTTGGGGGATATAGGTCAAGTGGTGTCTATGGTGGTAGGGGTGGTTCCTATGGTGGCTATGGTGGTGAATTTGGTGGGTATGGAGGATATGCTGGGGCTATGGGACCTTATAGAGGAGATCCCACCCTTGGGTACTCCGGTCGATATGGAGGCGGGTTTAGCAGAGGTTATGACCTTGGAGGATATGGTGGACCTAGTGATAGTTATGGGGGATACGGTGGTGTTGGTTCTTCAGGTGTGCTTATGGAAGTGGCTATGATGCCAGCTTGGGGGCGGATATGGCAGTGGTGGCGGTGGTGGTGTTGGAGGTTCCTTTTATGGGAGTAGAGGTGGATATGGTGGTGCAGGGTCTGGTCGATACCATCCCTACGGAAGATAGAAGGTTAGCAAGCGAGGATTTATAGTCTAGGACTAAATATCATGTCTAGCAGCAAAGAAAATTTGTATTTTGTTGTGTTTGGTTCTTCAATTTGGCCGGCTACAAAATTTCTTTAGTAAAACCAAAAAGTGTCCACGACGTTTTCTTTGAACACCCATGATGATTAGCATGCTCGTTCTGGGCCAACTTTTACATGACCAAACAATCTCTTTTCCTCTTGGGTCCTCATTTGAAACAGGTGGTTGTACTAAATTTTATTCATCATAATCATTTGTTGTATCAAATGTAACTACTGCTTCCTTTCTTATTCGTTCAAGTGAAGTGATTTCTCCATGGGGCACAACCCCCTGCCTCCCCTTCCTTTTGTCCAGATTGGAAGCGTCCACTGTTGCATCCTCTGCTTGAAGCAGTAGTGCACCTTCGCGCTTCACCAGATATGCGCTGTATGATTTGATTGTTTGGCAGCTTCAGGTGCTGAAATAAATCGTGTTAGAAGTCGGAACGGTGCAATTTGTTGTCCTCGTTACATTCATCTTATTGATTTTTACACCTGGGAGGTTATTTGGAGAGTCTAGTGTTCTAAAGAGTTAAGCAAGTTAATTTTTCACTTTGTTAAACATTGGTTCTGTTCCGTCATTCAATAATTATTTTTCAATCAATTTAACAATTCCACATCTAAATAAATATTATGTAAAACTATTACATAAAAAAATTAAATTAAAGCGTGGTTAATTATCCGGCTCACTTGATAATGAGCCTTTTCCAGCGGGTAGGTTTTATCATTTTCAGTTTTTGACCAACGATGGCACAATTTGTCTGTCCTTGTGAAAAATCTTGCTTTTAGCCTTTCGGAGCCAATTAAAGACTGAATCAACTGGTAAAAATGATATTTATACACGTGTACTCTGAAGCCTGCTCGAATGTTGACGACAACTCAACGATTTTTTTTTTAAGTTAAAAAAAATCCGTTAGGAAATATGCCCACTCCTCTCCTGTCTTGCATTTTCCTTATTTCCTGTGTGATCCCACCATACAAAAAATCTTGAAATTTTTCTGGCTTGGCATTCACCTCTTGAAATCGTAGCTACAATTACGCGGATACCAGCTTGAACCGAGAATTGGCGTCAGGCAGGTGTCGTCGAACGGTCGTAGCAGCGGAAAACTTGGAGTAGCCGCAAAAAGGAAAATAGAAAAAAAAATTTTGGAGACCCCCGAAAATTGGAATCTCAAGGATGGCAATGCCAACCTGCGCCATCGGCCTCGGTCCTTACCAGAAGGTGTCCTTATACCTGAACTGTTGTGGAGTTTTCAATTTGTCCTACGTTTCCCTTCCAAATTCTTCTCTGGTTCCTCTGATTATTTATTTATCTATTTTAAATTTGCAGACAAGGTCGTTTGGGGTTTCGTGCAGGAAGAGAGACAGAGAACGAGAAAGAGATAAGAATCACCCGTACAAAGTTATCGAGATTACCCCTCCACCCAAGAGTCTGGGAATTCGTTGCTTTCCCCCTGTAAGGCCCCAACTCTTCTATTTTTATTTTAATTGAATTCAAAACCTTTAATCTTGAATAGAAAGTAAAACCATTTGCCGGGTTTGAATTGCTCAGCTTAGACGTAAAGGGTAATTTGGTAAGGCGAAGTTCAGAATTAGGAGTTCTTTATTAAAAAAAATACCTGAAGAATTAAGAGTTTAAATATAGTGAATATCACAGTGGATTGTTTTGGTTTGCCAGGGGAATGGGACTATAACAAGGGATAATACCGACAATGAAATTCTAGAGTCTATGCCCGATGAATCATTTTATTCCAGAAATTCACCGGTGTAATGGTTGGTAAAATGATCTTTCCCTCAACACAATCTAGGATCTAAATATCATGCGAGTTCCTTAATTGATAGGGTACTGGAACTGACATTTTGGCGTCATTGAGTCGGGGCAACATTTTCAAGTAGATATTCGTTAAGCTTCTTGACGTCTTTGAAGAAATCTTAAGCTAGACCCGTCGGAGTATGTTTTCTGTGGCTGTTTTTTGGCTTAAAGAGGTCACTAAAATGCTTTGATGTTGGAAAATTGAGCATCAATCTTTGGTGTTTCTGAATAAAAGAATTGGTGCACTTATGATCACGATCCGAAGCTTATTTATGCTGATAGCATTACTTTGTGAGAATGGAAGCCTGGGCTGATACCTGGTGATGATGAATGATCATATCCTCCACTTTTGTTCATCCAAATTTGTTTTATTGCAGTGTAATTGGCTGGCAATGTTGAGGACCTATATGAAGGCCAACAACCATCCTAGACTGTCCTGCTGATAAGTTAATAGCAATGCTTTCCATTAACAAATACAACTGGCTTTCCTTGGAAAGAAACACCTTCAGCTCAATGAACTTCTGTTAGAAACTAAAATGTGCCTAAGTCTAGATACATGGCTATTTCAGCCTCTACATTTTGCACCCTCATAGATGAATCAATATCACCAAGGATCCGTATTTGGTGCTCATCAGGTGCTCACTGTTCAAATGTAATTTGGACAGTCCAGATTTAATATTTTTAAATAATTATTTTAAAATAGAAAAAATTATATTTTCAAAGAATGATAGTTAAAAGATTATCTTTATTTTTTATCCTATACCTATTAAAATAATCATTTTAAAAAAATAAAATAAAATTCCAGATCCGATGAGCATTGGGTGCTCATTAATTTTGATGAGCACCCAATGCAAATCCATATCACCAATGATACAAATTATGAGGAGGTGGTAATTTTTGTACCAGTTTTCCTCTGACCTCACATCAGCTGCTGCATGTTGATAAGCACCCGTTGGTACAAGAGTAGAAGTCTCGCAACACCTTTTGCTCCTTTGATACACAAGAGTGGCTATCAAGGACTACTGAAAGAGAGTGAAAATGTCAAACAGATAATTATTTGTTTCCATGTGAGTTTCCTGATTTTACCAACAGCTAATACAATAAAGTACCTACCTCAATTTTTTAAGGGGATCATATGCACCAAGGCAAGAGGTATACTCATAATAAATTTAGAGAAGTTAATGAGGAAGCTGTATACAACGACAGAAGCATGCATGCCAATAATGAATAAGGTTGCCAATATGTGGGCAGTTTTATGATGCCATCAGTAATGTTTTGCTACACGCACTCTGTTGCATGAATTCCTCCCCCGGTTATTGACTTGTTGGTACCATGGAATCAACTCTAAAGGTCTCCGGTCTTAGTTGCGAAGGTTTAGATATGGGTAAGTTGCTAGTAGAAGCTAAAGTGTGAGTTAGATTATTTGAATTGGAGTATATATCAAATTGTTATGGAAACTACACTTTGGACAGTGAGAACCATCCACATGTTGGTTCTTATGGTGAGCCCTTGGCCGGCTTACCAGACAAGGATTGGCTGTTAATCATGATAGGCTTGTTTCTGCTTTGAGAGATATCCCTTCCTGTGAAAGGCTGCTTTAAAGGGAAGATTGCAGACCTTTGGCATGCTTTCTTAATATGGAGCTTTTCACAATTGAAACTTGAAGACGTGTGTTATATAGATCAGGCAGATATCGTGCTAACATGAAAACTTATGGCTGTGAGGTGTAGTCACTTCTAGGAAGCAGATAAGCGTATAATTGAAGACATTCCACATGTTGAAGCTCACTGTAGCTAAAAGCAAAGGAGAACAAGTTTTTGGTATATCTAATTTAATAATGTAAAGAATAAGGCTGTGATTGATTCATTGGATCTTGCTGTTTCCAAATCTCTAATAAGGGAATGGTAGACGGGCCCATATGAGATTAGGACTTGAAGCAAGTTATTCCGTCTCGTATATGTGGATGTCAGTTACCTTTGGGGTTCAGAAAAATTAGTGGTAGATTCTTTAGTTGAACCTTTTCTGCTACAGTTTGTTAAAATATAATTGATCACCTGTCATGTTGCCCATAATACTTTGCTAATTCAATTATGTAAACTAGTGTTCCAACACGTGAGAATGGAAACAAAAACATGCAACCTTTTCAACTGGCCATTCACAAAACAATGCATAATCTTATTGTTTTTTTCCCCTTATTTTCTTCCGAATGCAGAATTTGCAGTGTGGGGAGAGTGTAACAATAGAAGGGCATGCTTATACCATTTCAGCTGTGACACACCGGTACCAGCTTCGGAAGGGAAAATACGAACTGGGTGAGAAAAGACTTGATGTTTTGTCCACTGGGAGATACATATTGAATTTATATTTAGAAAACTTGTTAGAACAATCTTGATAAACGTATTTAATCAAGTACCTATCTGATAACAAGATGTATCGTTCTGATCCTGTGTATTTGTCTGGTAAATTAAAATCTACATTGCTGTTTGGCGAAATGAAAAGGCCTAGTTCTATATTGCTGTGTCCTGAACTTTGTTGGCTTCTATCCAGTTCATGGGACCTAACTAGTCAGTTTTTTTTTTTTTTTAAATAATCATTGCCTTGTAGTATTGTACCTATATGACTTATCAACTCCTTTGTAACGTGGTAAGTTGGAAATTCATGTTTGGGTTTTTCATGGTGTGGTACTTTACAACCCAAAGCCTGCACTTGAGGGGTACCTTTTGATTCAGAAAGGAGAAGGAACCCCCACGTGCAGCACAGGCAAGAATGGCAGAGTCCTTTTAAACGTAGGACCGACCTCAAGAATTGATATTGAGTATAATGGCACAACAATTTCATGAGCAATGTGCAGTTGTGGTGCCTAGTCTTGTCGGGTAGGTCGCTAATAATTAAGTCAAGGGGTTAAATTCAATCCCTCTAGTGCAAAGTGCACAAACATATGGGACAGATAAGGCTGCATTAGTGAGCTAGTTGTGACTGCCGATATGTTCCTCTCTTTAAGATTGATACTGTAAAGCACATAGCTTTATTATTCCCTGTTTTGAAGCAAGTCCGATTCTCATGAACTGCTCGTTTGTAACCTGTAGAGCTCGAATATAGGAACAGATCTTTCGCATGATCAAAAAACAATTGCTTCAAAACTTGGTATTTTTTATTTTAAGGGATAGGCACTGCCAGCTGAAGTTACGAATGGAACTGCACCTACCATGACGGGCTAGATTAGGTTTTTCATTCCATGAAACAACAGTAGCATCCTGTGGCCAGCTGTTTATCTTTAAGTGGAGGCTCCACGATGAGGGGATTGCTCATTATTATTAGCAGTAAATATCTAGTATATACCCACAAAAAAAAAAAAAACAGTAGCAAGCCAGGCTAGCTAGTTGTTTGGGAAAGTGAAAAAAAAAAACTTTTTTTGTTGGGTTTTTGGAGCTCAATTAAGAGGTTAGAAAGATTGAAATTGCAGTTATGGAGGATGGAGATGAACACGGTGGTAGAGGATGGAAAGGGGGAGAGAGCTAAGGGGATGATGAGAGGGTAGTGCACACTGAAAATGATGGGAGAAACATGTTTAGATGATTGGTGACATTAAAGTGGTCCCCACAAATTGCACGTTGTCTGAGGACCCACCTCACCACCACCATCATTTTCTGTTGAGGACCCCACATCCATTCATTCATGTACATACGTGGTACGTCTCCCTATTTATTTTTTGCATGATAATTCATCTCAGTGTGAGTCTCATATATTAATTAAATTTAAATTTAAATACACACATATGCCTTGTACGAAAAATTTCCTGCTTTCGTGTCCGAGTTTCTCCTTGCCTATATCAATGGAGCATTGGAGCTGTCAATTTTTGATAGGGAGAGAACTTGTAGCGTTAATTTTGCGAAAAAAGACTAAATGTGAATGGTTATACTCACGCTCGTAGTGAGATTCACCGAGGGCCCCCTTTTTCCCGACCAGGCCCACTGCCCCCTGCCGGCTGCCCCCATTTGCTTCGATCAATAATTATAAAAAAAACTTTTATATTCTTGTAAAGCATTATTATTCTTAACAGTGCTTATTTTTTATTTGGAGATATCAAGTCCAAGGCCATTTCACATTCATAAAAATCAATTTCATTTTGTTTTCTTTGCAGTCTCATTAAACAAGGCTTCGTAAATCGAATTTTAAAAAAAAACAAAAAATTATGTGAAATTTAATGTCTTAAAATACGAAGAAAAAATAAAAAGATTTAAAGTGTTTACACATATATAAACACGTGTTGAATTGTTTGAACTACCAATTAGCCTCTCTCGCAAAATTTCAAAAATAGTTTAAAAAACGTATTAAAGTGCATGTCTTATTTTTCTTTTTATTTTTTCACACAGCCAGAATTAGAATTAATTAACCAAATTATTGGATGATATGGAGAAGCATGTAAGTGGTGACAATCATGGCGACTACTCAACTACCATAAAGGTCTCTTTCTCTCGCGCACACTCTGGACTGGACTGCACCTGGTGGGTCCACGTGTCCCTCCCCCCTCCTTTGATACGGGCCCTTCCTCATCTTCCACTCCTCAATTCGCCGTCCATCTTTTTTATTCACTAAAAACTAAAAATTGAGCGTATTATTCATTATTGAATATTTATAGCTACGGAGCTCATTATTTTTCTTTTGTAGTCATACTCACTCTGATTCGTCCGTACTTTAAAACAATTACTCCAACTATAATTTAAATTTTAAACTAGTAAGTCGCTCTGTTTCTGGCCTGTTAACCAGATAGATTAAAATAATTTAATTTGAATTGAACAGTACGAGGGATACCCCCCAAAAAAAAAACTCATGTTTGAGAATTAAGTTTGAAATTTATAATAAATATTCGAAAATTTCTTCTTTTTTTTAATTTTTATAAGTTTTTCACTCAATTTTGTGGAATTATGAAGAATCTTTAAACTCATTAATAGTTTGTGTTATTTTGTTTACACTAGTTATAAAAGAAGAAAGTATTTTCCAAAGTCAGTATCTATGGAGTTTTCAAGAGTCTAAGAAACATAGAATTACAACATTATAAAAGAGTTTCACAGTCTAAGATTTTTTTAAAAAAAACGTTACAAAAACTATTGTTTTTGTTGCTGTTACTCTTAAAGTTCCCATTTTCAGATCCTTGTTTAATTACTACCTCCGGTCTTAATTATACTATTATGAATTAATTATACCAATAGAATGATTACCATGTGTATTCAAATTAGCAGATAACTTCCATATTTTTTCAGATATCACTATCTTCAATAATCTGTTTAATTAAAATAAAACTATATCATCTTCCAACGGTATGCTTTATTCATGTATAATCAGAGCACACACTAGTACATAAATATTACGAATCAATATCAACATAAAAATATAAAATTGCTACAAATAGTATCTCTCATTACAAATTTCATAATTTATTTAAATACAAAAAATTACCGTAACGTGTTATAAGATTTCTTCGCAAAAATAGCTCTATAAAGGAATTTGGATAAAATTAAAATAAAGGTGTATGACTGGATTAAAGGGGGAAAAAACATAGTACTGTGTGATTATGGGGGAAAGTTTCACCAAATGCGTAGAATAGAATGATGCATGGGAAGTGACAGCCGGCCACGTGGTAGGAGTCAGATTCATGTGCTCGCATGTGAGGTTTCCGTATTCCCGCCATTGTTGTTAATACGCGCCGTTACTTAACGGCCATGTGACTCCTTTCAATGACTTTAGATGTTGTTGCCCTGAATCTGACAAACGATCTTTTTGTGCCAATTATGATTAATTAAAAAAATAAATTGATATTTCAGTATTTAAAAATAATTCTCGGTCCTTAATACTGATTTTTTTGTCAATAAATTTAACAATGTTAAGGCTAAATTAGACACAAAAATTCATTCTTTTCTTCTTTTCTTTTTTTTTTGCCCATCAAAATATTATACAGGCAATTGATTTTATTTTTAGAGGCTGTGATAGTCACTATCCTATATCCTTAAGAGCATGCTGTGGATAAAATTATATCACTTATTATTGACTAACCATGTGCACAGGATTCCAATGTCCTTAACAGACGATTTGGCTAATCCTGATTGGTTTAAATTTTTTTTATAAAAAAAAAAAGCCACAGACCCATTTATCTATTGATATTCATCGGTGACGTGCCCTAGATCACCGCCGGTGATGTTACCGTACATTGCTATTCTATTCATGTGGATGATATGATATCTGCTCTTTGTACTTTCAGCTATATGTTTCTCCCCCCCCCCAAATTTCAACAGTACACTGATTAATTTTTACTGGCCAGAAATTCAAATTTTGTATATAAGAATCAGGTTGATTTAATTATTGTGATGAGAGAAAAACAGGGAATGATTTGGGCGCGCACGCTGGAAATTAATGTAGAGGGTGGACAACAAAAAAACACGCAATTATTTCAGCCTTTTTCTTGCTTTGGCCATGCTTCCCCGTTTCTTTCTATTCTCCCTGGCCAAAGTCAAATTAAAATTATTTCATACTTAACAGGGAAATTTATTTTTCAGTATTTTCTAACTTAAAATTTCATGAGGAAAGCTATTTAACTTTTTTTTTTTTTCTATTACCTATACTGTACCATATAAGTTCTGAATTCTTTTTTGGTTTTAACAAGGCGATGGCATTTCTCCGAGAAATACTTCTCAATAGTCAATATCCAGTCATCGGCTCATGAATCGTGTGATTGTGTCAAGGGTCATTACTTATTTTTCATTCCTCGGTATATCTGAAAAATTAGATATTACCTTCGATCCTTAATATAAGATCTCGTTTGACTTTTATTTTGATCATAATTATAAAACCCCAATCTACTGTCTCTCATATTTATATATTTTTTTAAGGTAATCCCTTTAATAACGGTAGTTCTAGCCAATAAACTTGATTAGCAAGGATGTTTTAGGAAAAACAACACATATGTATTACAAATAACTTACTTAACTTATTTTCTTAATCACCTCAAATCATTCAATTAGCTCTTATAATTAAGATTAGAGGTAGTATTATTTATCCGTTATATATATATATTCCCCCTTTCTCATAGCCGTTTGGCTATGTGCAATCGATATTTTCTCCGTGATGCTACTTTTTAGATTTTTTTTCCGCCTCAGCGTGATCTTAAAAAACGGTTAATTGGTCGTATTTGAAAATGACATCGTCGAGATTAGAGAATACTAGCATGCATCGCTTTGACAATATCATTAAGCTTTAAATAGTGTCAATTATTATTACAATTATTAAAAAAACAGAATATGTCGTTGACTAATAAAATATTTGTTACACACTTAAATTGCATTGTCTAATCTCATATTCTTAGTTTTTTTTTTTATATATATTAATTCAACCGCAACTCAAGTCGTTTCGTGTAAGATTCTTGACCTCTGACAGAACATGACCCTATCTTTAATTTTTTTTTATATATATAAAAAAATGTTTGCAATTTTCGGTGAAAGCAGAAATATGTCCACACTCAATGGACATGTCAGACGTGGTCTTGTTTAGCTCGGAGGTCAAGAACAACAATGTATGCCAAATCTCCATGCTCATATGATTCCTATCCAACAAAACATTATTATAGTAATAATCTTATTAATAATTACACTAAACAAAAGTATCCCACCATTATCACTCCTCAAACACTACGAGATAATTCCAGAGGATGAGTTAATATGGCGTATTTCTTGTCCTTATTATTTTAGACTATCAAAACATCCAAAGTCTTGCCTTTATTATATTATACTATAACAAGCGTTTTATATTTAGTACAGAAAAAATGAATTGGATGCCCCTTTTCTTCGTACAGAGACCAAGCTCTGATCTCCATAATGTACTGTCAAAACTTGTTTCCTGTACTTGGCCGACCAGTTAAACAGAACATGATAAGATTATCTCTTGGCCTGGAGGTGACGAATGGTCCAGATTTTGAATGCCTGTAATACATATAACAAGGAGGGAATGCCTTAGGTTTCAGTGAAGTTAAAACCAGGGCGATGATATAAAATTTTGAAGCGGGTTAACTTCTCATAAAATTTTATATCATATATATATATAGATTGCATAGATTTACAGTGCCAATGTGATTCAAATATATCATCTGGTCCTTTTTTTTTGGGCAGCTTGCAACATGTATGAAAAGTTAAACAAGTCGACTCGGCCTCGTGGAGAACAAATCAGAAGTATTCAGTGTACATGGTATTTCATCATTGCAAAACTTTATCGTAGCTGAAGCCAATACAAGGAAAGAGGACCCAGAAATGAATATTAAAAGGAGAAAGGGAGTTTCCCCCGATCGTAAATGGGAGGGTGCCCCATAGGAGAAGCCATTTTCTCCGCGTAATCAAAGGCTTAAAATTTTAGGGGAAACAAGGACAAACAACGTCTAGGCGAGAGGGTGGGTTTTCTTGCAGAGGGAACATCCAAAAGATAAGGACGCCTTTTATTAGCTTTGCTTCTGAAGTTGGCTTCGTTTTCCCTCGTATCCATTCCTCCAAGACGCTCTCGCTCGTATCACGACGAAAACTACCACCACAATAACAAGAAAAATAAATAAATAAATAAAAACGCAAGCCTCTTTCCTTTTCTCTTCTCTCTACGACGCCCAAAAACAGCTCTTAATTATTATTATCATTGCTGTTTTCCTCTACAGTTTATTTTTTGTTTTGGTCCTTCTTTTCTTCGATCGGATCTGAGGGCTCTTCTTCGCAGTTTCGGAAAGACATCTCTCAAAGCTGTTTCACTTTCTGCCAAACTGGAATCTTACACACCACTTGCTCTGCCATGAAGCATTTCTCGCTCTGCATTACTCTTTCTCTTCTGTGACCAGGTGCTCTTTCTTGCTCTGTACTTTTGCTCCTTTCTTTATGGTTTTCTTCTTCTTTTTTCTTTTTCCCCTCTCACCCCGAATTGTTATTCCTTTGCGTCTTCCTGACTAGTAGCGAAGTGTAAAAGAGAGTTGATGGAGGTTTCTTAAGAATCGAACTTTAACTTAGGTATTATAGTTAAATGCATCTGGCATCTAAAACAGGAAGCGGCTTTAAGCAATCTTTTGGTTCTTCAAGTTATGGCTTGTTCCTTCCTTTCTTCCCACCATGAAGTTCACAGCGGCCGGAGAGTCACTTGGCTTTTTCAGAACCCTGTAAACGCTTCGCCTTGCCGTGTGAGAGTTCTCTGATTTTTCTCCAGGTCTAATGTCATTGTTTAGATATTTTTCTCATCCATGAAGTGTCTTCTCTTTCCGGGTTTAGGAGTGTTTATTTTCATCTGATTTGGACTTCGTTTTCTTGTTCACAACTTTCCACTTAGGGCCAGCCGTCGCTGTGTAATTTACTCCGTAATGTTTGTGATTCTCCTCGATTGGACGGTTTTCCGGAGATTGAATCTGTGATGGCTTGATGGGGTCTTCTGCAGATTCTCTCTCTTTCTCTGTTTTTTTCCCTTCAAATTTGGGCCGTTTTGAATTTGCTTCTGGGTCGTTTCAATTAATGTCCTTTATGTCAACCCCTATAATTATCCGGACAGATTTTTTTAATTAAAAAATATAAAGATGTGATATACGTTTTCAGTGCAGAAGATTCTGTAAATAATAGCTTTGTCTCAAAGCTTTTTAACTAAGCAGGCACAGTAATTCACTGCGATTCGTTGGATTTTGCAGTGAGAGTACGTTTGTAGGATATGTCGATGGAGTCACCTGTCAATGGAGGCGAGTCTATATCAGAGGTTCAGAATTCGGTTTCTGCGCAAGATCACGACTCTCCTTCGACATCTGAAACGCCAAATCTTCTTCTCGACCTCCCTTAAGAGCATCATCAAGAAATCAGGCGGCTCCTTCCACGACCTATCACACTGGTCATCCTAATTACGGAATTAAGATTCACCAAAAGCATCCTTACCAGGAAATCAACCATGTGCAGCATCAAGAACTGCCAAATACGGCCAAGCAACATCACAATTCTAGTGGAAAATCAGGAGAAATTAGTTCAGGGAAGAATATATCTACGATAGAAACAAAGAATCATGATGCAAAAGGCATATCAGCCTCATCTAAAGGAGTTGGTGATCAAACGAAGAGTTGCTCTCGGTCAGATGTAACTTTTTGTGCAAGTCCTCAGAATAGCTTCTATTCTGCAGCTACCTATTCAGAAGCCAAACAAAGTTTCGTCAATACTGAAGTGAGTGAGTGTGTTAGTGTGGATAAGTCAGGTGAAAGTGGTGAAGCCACTAACTCTTGTGACTTCAATGAGAGCAGGAAGACCAGTATATGTAGAGGGAGTACTGGGAGCGATGTGAGTGATGAGAGTAGCACCAGTAGTTTGAGCAGTGCGTTGTATAAACCTCACAAGGCTAATGATATAAGATGGGAAGCGATTCAAGCCGTGCGAGCTCGCGATGGGGTGCTGGAAATGAGGCATTTCAGATTGTTGAAGCAATTGGGATGTGGAGACATAGGAAGTGTGCATCTTGCAGAGTTAAGCGGCACAAGGACATGTTTTGCAATGAAGATAATGAACAAAACGGAGCTGGCTAGTAGGAAGAAGCTTCTGAGGGCTCAGACAGAAAGAGAGATCTTGCAGTCTCTGGATCACCCTTTTTTGCCCACATTATATACACATTTTGAGACAGAGACGTTCTCTTGCTTGGTAATGGAGTTTTGCCCTGGTGGGGACTTGCATGCGCTGAGGCAAAGACAGCCTAGGAAGTATTTCTCGGAGCATGCTGCCAGGTGAGCTATTCTTGTTCCTGGTTGCCTCTGTACATGTTTAACGACGTGCTGGACGGTATGCAAATAATCATGAGTCAGTGAATTTGATGTTAGATAATGCCATATTCTGGGATCTGTAAACTCGAATACTAAATGATAGTAGTGAGGAGCTATAGTGGTTCAGGGAATCTCCTTGGGAGTACGTAGAGAAATGACCTTGTGCTGAGAGATTTTCATGAGGTACACTTTGATGACTATTTGAAGGTTTAGATTTGGTCAAATAGCAAAAAAAAAAGACGACCTTTTGTTTATGATTCTAGGATCTTTTACCTCCATTGGAAATCCATTTTATTTCGCTAAAGTGGTTCCTGAGATTTTCAAGTGAGAAAGATAATTTTCCTTGTCCGCTGTCATTGCCTAAAATCTGCCATGTTTTCTCAAATCAGGATGGGGAATGAGAATCCCAGTCTTGTTTCAGAACTATTTCTTGCTTGCTATATCTCTCCCTCTTTTTTCTTGGGTGCTCTTTGCTTTCTTACTTACATCCTTTCTGCTTAGTTTAGTCTCTATTTCCTCTTCTGCACCATTTATTGTGATTATTCGAGATTTCTATGAACTATTTTTGGTGTTGCAAACAGTGACCTTGTGAATTTCAATCTGGTGAATTCCATGACTAGATTCTCCTATCACACACAGTTACTTGTCAATCAAATTCGCATGTTTTAGCTCATATCTTTTGTCTCAATCATCAGTTTCTGTTCTTTTTCCAGCTCGAATAATTGGTGTATGTTGGTTGTCATCCATAGCTTTCGAGCTTGATTGACTGCTAAAGAGAATCTGATATCCTATCAATCACGTTGCCATTCTAATAGCCTGCTATGCTGTGTCGCCACTCCCAAGTCTTATCCAACGAACATGGTCAAAATATTGAAATAAATATAGCAAATAACCCGTTAAGTAGACGCAGTCACATGAAAGATAATTAAGTGCTTATTATTCCATTCATTCACCTGGTATTTGCCGTACAGGTTTTATGTAGCAGAAGTTCTTCTTGCTTTGGAATACCTTCACATGCTTGGGATCATCTACAGAGACCTCAAACCAGAGAACGTGTTGGTGCGTGAAGACGGTCACATAATGCTCTCTGACTTCGACCTCTCTCTGCGTTGCGCCGTGAGTCCGACTCTCGTAAAATCGTCAAACTCAACCCTGGACGGAAGAACTTCGGGATACTGCATTCAGCCGACCTGCATCGAACCGACCTGCGTGATGCAGCCAGATTGCATCCAGCCCTCCTGTTTCACTCCTCGATTTCTATCCGGCAAATCCAAGAAAGACAAAAAGCCCAAGCCAAAGAACGAAACGCCACACCAGGTGACTCCTCTCCCGGAGCTCATCGCCGAACCCACAAACGCCCGTTCCATGTCCTTCGTGGGTACACACGAATACTTAGCACCCGAAATCATCAAAGGCGAAGGCCACGGAAGTGCAGTAGACTGGTGGACGTTCGGGATATTCTTGTACGAGCTTTTGTTCGGAAGAACGCCGTTCAAGGGGTCGGCTAACAGAGCGACTCTGTTCAACGTGGTGGGGCAGCCACTGAGGTTTCCAGAATCACCCACCGTTAGCTTCGCTGCTAGGGATTTGATCAGAGGATTGCTCGTGAAAGAGCCTCAACATCGTCTGGCTTATAGACGAGGAGCCACGGAGATCAAACAGCACCCGTTCTTTCAGAACGTGAATTGGGCACTGATACGGTGTGCAAACCCGCCGGAGGTTCCAAGGATAGTGGCCCTGAAAGAGATGGCGGCTCAGAAAGTGCCCGGCGTTAAGCCTGCCGGTAACTATTTAGATATTGATTTCTTTTGATCCTTCAATGTGTTTTATGGTATCTCCTGTGTGTTGTATCGGATTGAATTGGCGGGCAAAAAAGTTTCTGCTCTCTCGTTTAAACAAACGCCTCATTTCTGTGCAAAAAGAAATTGTGTTTGTGCATAATTGGCTCGTCTCTCTTCTCTGCACTCGAAAGAAGATTCTCACCTTTCCCACCATACACACCTGTGGCTGCGACTGTAACCATGAGATCTGATACTTCAAAGTGACCGCTTCTACTGCAAATAATCTTTGCAGGGTCCTGTTACCTGTGATGCCATTGCCACTCATCAAATTACGTTGGTTTCCTTGGTTATAAATTTCGGATATTGCCCCAGTGAGTCATAAGGATATGTTAGGGGCAGTAATCATAGATTCACACATCACTAGCTTAATTTTTCCTGATAACGTACATTTTCATGGCCATTCAAGACAAACTCTGCCGAAAACTTCTCTCGCTGTTTATTTATTTAGTTTTTTTCCTCTTAGGGTTGGGCATTACGTTTTGTTTCTAGACTAGCTTGTAATATCTATGACTTTATATAATAAATCCTGATTATTATATATACTGATATGGTGCTAACCCCGCAAATAGGCCCTTTTTGTTTTTGGTACGTCAGACTGAGGTGCTGGCATTGGTATTTTATACAAGGTAAATATAGTGGCTTCTAAGTTCTAATCGATTTTGAACGATATATTAAAGACTGCGACCTTCGCTGCCAGTTTCCTAACACATACTTTTGTCGTTGGGTACATAATCAAAGTGCCCCTCTGCTTTTTTTTTTTTTTTTTTTTGTAATCTTTTGAAATTGTGGTAAAATGTTTGTGAAGCGACATGAAAATAATGTAAAGAGGCTAACTAATGAGAGTTAGTCTGCAGAAGAGGTTAGTTTTCACAAAATTTCTGTTAGGAAAGGTCTCAAATTAAGTGTCTGATATTATTTCAAACAAACTTGTCTTTAATGGGAGATTACATGTTCCTAGCAAAAAGAAAACTACAATAAAATAAGCGGGGTCCTTTGGATCAATCACGGTTGGAAAATACGTCTAGGTTCTGTGACGGGGAGAGACGAAAGAAGCATATGATGAGAGGCGTGAATGCGGACGTAACAACTGTGAACAAGACGGGCCTTGATAACCTGGCAGGCCCACTTAAGTTTTGACCAAAGAAGGCCCACTTTTGGAGTAACAGCAGATTGCATTACCAAAAAACAAAAGATAGGTCCCAGTGTCACACTGCCCGCCGCCTTTAGAAATCGTAAGAGCCTGCGTCATGTCGCATGCAAACTTCTTTCCTCGCGTTTTGTCTCCTCGCTTTAACATTCTTTAAGGTATTTTGGCCGTTACTCTGTCTTAAATATAAAAATTAATTAAACATTTAATTTGTTTATTATATTTATTTATTTTTCTCAAAACAATCATGTTAAAAAAACTTTATTCTAATACATATAATTAATAAAGATAATTTAAAAAAGACAACACATATTCATTATAAATAATAAAATTAAATAATTTTTTAATATTTTCAAATTAATTAAAGGACCAAGAATATTTTAAACTACATGCTTTATTCATATACTCCTCCAGTCCTTAATACAAAACCTAATTGTTAAGTTAATTTTGGTTCTAAATATAAGACATATTTCTCATATTTATCATTTTTTCCTAAATTATCCCTATAGATACTTCTTCAACTATAATCAAATAAATAAAGAATGAATGATATTAAGAAAAATGATTATGATGCTTTAGGAAAAACATGTCGTATTTATTATAATTAACTAACTTACCTAACTTCTTGAATCTAATCAAATTAGTTAAATAAATCTTATATTAAGAATTAGAAGAGTCTTATCAGGAAAAAAAATCCAGACACACTAATACATAAACAATTATACACTACAAATCATAATTCATATAGACACACAAAAATTACTCCAATAGTGGTATGTTGTAATATTTCTCTACGAAGGGAGCTCTATACATAAACTTCAACAATTTATGTGGATCTTTGTCACAAAAAGAGAACAATTTATGTGGATAAAAATACTCTAAACGCTTTTACCCCCCGGGGGGGGACTCTAAACGCAAACGCACTAAAGAATCTAAATAATCTCAGGTGGAAAAAAATCCAAAAATCCTATATACGGTGTACGATCGGATTAAAAAAAACATGTTGTTACATGGGCAGAAGCTTTACTAAATGCGTAAAATAAAATAACGCATAGGTTTTGAGGTAAAGAATAAAAAAAATAAAATTATGCATGGGAATTGGGAAGGGACGGCAAGCCATGTGAGAGGAGTCAGATTCACGTGCGCACACGATGACAAACATCATTGTGCTATCGTGGTGGCCAAGTATGTTAGAATTACTATTATAAACACATAAATTATTTTGTATGCAAATTAAGACAAATTTTTTTTCATATTTTTATTATGTATTTTGTAAGTTATGATTCAAAATATTCTTATAAATTATTCAAAAACAAGCTCTAATATAATTTCACCAATTTAAATTTAAAATTTTTAATTAATAATTTTAAATAATAATTTTGAAAAAAAAATGGTTAAGAAATTATATTTATTCTAAATTTTGTACTTATTAAAATATTAAAAAAAAAAAGAAATTAAAACAGTGCCAGTTTTCGGTCTCATCGTTCACGGGGAACCAGCACAATGGGGACTGTGAAGCTCCTCACATCATAGGACATAGATCGCCCATGTTCGTTTAATTTTATTTTATTCCAGGATCAATATACTCTTCTGATTTTTAATATATAACCTAATTATTAAATTAATGTTGATCATAAATATAAAACTTATTTATTATATTTATCAATTTTTTTAAATTATCTCTATAAATACTCCTTCAACTATAATCAAGTAAAACAGGAAGAAAGGATATTAAAAAAGATGATTATGGTGTTTTAAGAAAAACATGTCATATTTTTTTCATTAATTAACTTGCTTAAATTTTTTAATCTAATCAAATTAATTAAATAGCTTTTATATTAAATATAGGAATATGATTTTTGTCTTTTTCTGCTGTGACCGTGAATGGGGACAAATTGCAAGCTGATATTGAAATTGGATCTTTCAATACATCGTACCTTACGAACATGAAAAGTCAATAAATCTTATAGGGGTAATTAATCTCCAGGTCCTTATAGTTTTATCTGATTTTTAATTAGATCCTTATAAAATTGTTTCTTTTTATCAGATCCTTTTACTTTCGTGTGTTTTTAATTAAGTCCTTCTATTCTATTTTTTTATCAGGTCCTTATAGTTTCACTTTTTTTTTAATTAGGTGCTTTATAGTTTTTGAAAAATTATTTATTAACTCTATTCTTTAAAATTAATAATTATATAATTGGACAAAATAATTAATATAATCATTTAGTAATTAATAAATAATCAGAATAATAATTATACTTAAATATAAATTATTTATAATCATATTTTAATTTTAGATAAATTTATTATTATAATTTGAATTTTATAATTATAAAAATTTGAATTGAAAATAAATAATATATTTGTTTAACTAAAAATTTAAAAGAATATTGACATAAGATTGTTACAATAATTTATTATTTTTAAAATGTTATTATTTGTAAAATAAAGAATAAAAACTAGAAGGACCTAATTAAAAACAAAGTGAAACAATAAGGACCTGATAAAAAAGAAAAAAATTATAAGGATTTGATTAAAAATATATGAAAGTATAAGGATCTAATAAAAAAAAGAAAAAAATTATAAGAACTTGATTAAAAACTAGTTGAAACTATAAAGACTTATATTTTAATTATCCCAATCTTATATTATCCGAACCCAATTTCAATCCCTGTCCCTCTTTCCTAGGTATCAAACGGGGTCCACCTTAATGCCGCGTTTCCAGAAAGCAGAGCCAATAGTTAATAATTTAAGAAAAATTACGAGTGAAGATCATTTTTAAAAATTATTTTTATATTTTACGAGCTTAGCGCATGCAATGCAACCGTGGCGCTCAAATTCATTCCCTGGAAGCTCACTGCGCCCCTTTAAGATAGCCTCTCGGGTTCCTTTCTCTCCCGCATCAGTATCATCGACAACTAAGAAATTCCTCAAACCCTATCTCTGGCTTTCTTCATGGCTTCCGAGAACTTCTCCATCGCTGCTGCCGATGACTCCAAGCACGGATTCAGCAGGCCGGAGTTGTACAAGGAGAATCTCGCCGGCACCGCCGATGCATATGACCGTCACTTGTTCGTCTGCTACAAGAACCGCCAGGTTTGGCCTTCAAACGTCGAGACCTCTGACTCGGATCCGCTCCCGAAGCTTCTGGCAACAACTGTTAAATCCCGTAAGAATGATATCACCATAAAGGTTTGTGGTTAATCTGGTCATTAGGCTCCTTAATAGTTGCATTGCTCAGTAGTTGAGTTAGTTCTGAACGATGAAAGTTGATTGATTCGTGTGGTGACTAGTCGGTGGTTTGATTCTATTTGGCAGACTAAGATTACGGTATGCGAGGCACGAGAGGAGGCTGGCTTCTTGGATGGCGACGTGTTGCTTTTCCCGGAAATGATCAAATATAGGTAAGCCCTCTGAACACGTTACGATCTTACTGCTACTATGTATATATATGATCTTAGCGTAATGCCCCTAGCTGTATTTGTTGAACTGGAGTTGTAACGGCTTTATCTATGGATCGGATTTATTGCTCTGGAATGAATGTGTTTTTAATTTCACTATTTTGTGTGATAAGCCTTGGCAGAAATGTAGCTTGTTTGAGTCTAATAACTATATCCGAAATACCAATTCCCTAGTAAGTACTCCTCCTTAATTTAATATAAGACTTATTTAACTAATTTGATTAGATTAATAAAATTAAGTAAATTAGTTAATTATGATAAATATGGCATATTTTTTTAAAATGCTATAATTATGTTCATTAATATACTCACACACTCTCATATTTGATTATGGTTGAAGGAGTATCAATAGAAATATAATTTTAAAAAATTAATAAACATGAAAAATGGGTTTTACATTTACGACGAAAATCAACTCAATAATTAGATTCAACATTAAAGATCAGAAAAGTATGACGTGTGAATATCTTACAACTTTGCAAATTGAAGTTT